CTTACAGTAGTTGATTCAAAGGATATTTGAGTGTGATGGTTACAGTTTTGATTGGAGGCAGCGCTCTCCGTACACACTGTGAGTAAGTCTAGCAGCAAGCTTTGAATAATTCACTGACATGATGTGTTTCCAGTGAAAAGATTCGTGCTGCGATCCTTTGTAATTTCTCTCTCTGACATGATGAGAATCTAACCGCCCTCTCTGAGATCCACATACAAGTTGTAATGACTCACAGTCAGATTTGAATTCACTGTCCATTTGCACAAAAAATATCAAAGAAACTATTACTCCAATCACTGGTCATGCGATATTACACTTATTAAACCAGCATGCCTTTCATGCAGAAAGTTCAGATTGTTATGACAAAGCACAACATTTAAAAGCTAATTCATCCAGCAGTGTCACACATGTCTTCAGATTCAGTTGGACAGGTCTGAGACAGAGGAATACCATGATGAAGAAGAAGAGCACCTACCTCGCTCATGGCTGCGCTGTGTGTCTGGCTCTCAGTGAAGTGAGACTGAGCTGCAGTCCTCTCTCTCTGCTCCTGCTTTTATAGAGTGGGCCGCTCGCTCTCCTCTACTCACACCCTTATATCCTTTTCTCCAGCTCTACAATGAGGCCCACCGGCACCAGCCTCCATATTTTCAACCACCTGCTACTTGTTTGGCTTGTCTTCAGTTTATGTTGTCAGGGTATGAGGGATCATGAAAATGCAAGTAAAATAATGAAACAATCCCAAATTGAAAACAAGACATTTATCAGAAGAAATTGACCACTAGGTAGGGCTCGAGGATTTTAGTGTAAACTAAATATTTGTTAGAGATAGGGAAACTTAGGACAGATAACTTGCTTTATTTACAATTACACAATTTGATTTAAAATATGATATGTTAAGAAATAATAAACATAACTAAATATTTTAAATAGTAAATGATAAAGTGAATATGTTAAAAGCAACACACTTGCAGTGGTAGATGCGCTGATGGATATTCAGCTGATATTCAGCTGATTAATGCATGTTCCTGATGCAGAGGTTGACCCAAAAAAAAAACACCCCTAAAATTACCATATATATATTGACTATAAGGCGCACCTGAGTATAAGTCGCTCTTATCAAAAAACGTGTCGTTAAGAGAAAAAAAACATATATAAGTCGCTTCGGTGTATAAGTCGCATTTATCCACTGAAGTCTTCATCCTCTGTGTCGCTGTTAAACAGTTCCGCCAACTCCGGTGGAAGTGTTTGACAGCGACACAGAGGTGTCGATGAAGCAGCGTGTCCTGCTCCGGGCTGTCCTCAGACTCTCCATCAGAATCAGCTCCGATTAGACCTTTCTGAATCCCCACAGGATGGTGTCGGTCGTCACTGAAGCCCATGCTGTGTCCATCCATCCCACAACATCCTGGAAAGTTACGTGACGCATCCTCCCAGTTGCCAGGTTATGGCTAGAAAGGATCCGTCTTGTGTAAATATGACGTCACGTTCTCGTTGTAACTCTCGTTGTAATCGGAGCGGCTCGGAAACACATCTACAGCAGTAACATGCAACATACACATTAATAATATTAATAGAGAAACATCAGACATAATAGTAAAACACTGAAAGGGAACATGTTATTGCACCAGGAGCTATCTTGGGACTTTTACTGCGACAACGTTGACTTGCCTGTGAATAAAAAATAAACCATAGTGTTGGTGATCTACAGTGTTGTCATTCTTCTTTGAACAGCAAGACCGCTAACACACTATTTCAACAATCACACTCCCTGTAATTGACATAATTAATAGATAGTTTAGCTTCTCACCATCATTTGCTGTGGCCCACTGATGTTAACGATCGTAACTGAAAGGCTGCCTGCCAAACGTAAACATTCAGCCATGTGACTTGCAAACTCTCGCGAGAGTTTTACACAAAACGGATCCTTTCTAGCCATAACCCAGTTGCCGTGACTTCTTTCTTCTTCGGTGGTACAGCAGTTTTCAGTTGTCAGGATTGTGTACAGTGCCATCTATTGGCCGGAGTTTGAACGCAGTCAGACAGAATTCAATATATAAGTCGCTTCGGAGTATGAGTCGCAGGACCAGCCAGATAGGTAAAAACATTTCGACTTATAGTCCGGAAAATACAGTCTACATAATATAATTTTTTATGCTATATGTTTCTTATTGTGCAGTGAAATGAACCCTGACAGGGTGATCATGTCCCCGATGCTGAAGCCTGCTTATAACTTGTCATTTGACAAAACAGGGTGATTTCTAAATGATTGATTTTCCATCAAGAAAGATTGTCCGTTCTAGAAACAGCTTGACCTGTGGCAATAGCAATTTAATTTGAAATGACAGCAGCACTGATCGAGGGTTTCTGTCCTGTTACTGTTCACATTTTCTTTGCCATTCTTTAAACACAGCCAGAGCACATACAGTGTTCCAGTGCAGTTGTAGATATGTAGATACGCCACCTCCGGCTAGCAGTGGTCCACTTGGCTACCTTGGCTAATGAAGGCTTTTTAGATGAATGGACATCAATGCAGACTCAAAAAAAGGTTTGACCACGTCCAAAAACGTACACAACAAGAAACTGAAAGGCTTTGTGTTGTACAATTTCATCCTTGTCCAGGTGTTTTCATTGTGGAGCTTGTCGACTTGCCTTGTTTACTGGCTCGTAAATATCCAGGCTTTATTGACAGAAAATCTCCTATTTTGCTTTATTTAGGTTTTCATTGACTTGTTTGCAGTTACGTCAGTGTATAGAGGAGTCTTGGTAGTAGTGCAAGATCCACAAGGTTGAGCACCTCGAAAGGTGGGGGGATGAGTCGATTTGACCAGTTTAATATTGTAATATTTCATTCTTATCACAATCATTGATTTTTGCAATAGATCAAATTACATGTTATTTAGCTGACGTTTATATCCTAACTGACTTACATAAGCCTAAAAAGTGTAGACATGCCTAGGGGAGAGATGTGGGGTTATCTAGATGGCTTGGTGTGATGACTGCAGGAGATGGTATGAACGTTTTTCCCCTGATTTGCAGACCAGCACTTTACCACCATGAGCCACAGCCATCCATAGAATCAATTGTCACTGATTACAAACACCGAGATATCTAGACTCTAGACTTCTCTAGTATTAACATCAGTGGGCAGCTATACAGCGTAAAGAGAGAAGCCTCGCTCAAGGACAGATGGCGACCTTGCACCCTTCCTCTCATAAACATATGCAGTTTTATCAAAGCAAATTCCAGCAATGTGTTAATTATTAAACTTCAACCGCTGTGAGCAGGATTTGAACCTGCGCGGGAATATCCCATTGGATTTCGAGTCCAACGCCTTAACCACTCGGCCATCACAGCTGTTTCTCATTCTACTTACTAACTGAATTAGTCACAGGGTTGGTCACGTCTCTTTAAATAGATGTTAGTGCAAGTGTTGCAATTGTATTACACACACACCCTCTATCTTTCCTGCTCCTAAAGCCCATGCTCCTAACAACACAGACTCTTATGTTCAACCAAGCCCTTGCATCTCGGTCAGGTAAATATGAGATGTTCATTCTCCCCAGTCTAACTCACATGCTCACAGAACAGGATGCACCTCCACAAGGGGTGGCAAATGGAATACATTTAGGACAGGCTGCAAAATTAAATCAAATAGAAATAATGTTATTATAAACATATTCCTCAGAACTACATAATTCATTCTCCTGAAATAGATATTACAGATATATCAATCCTTTCAATTTCAACTGCATAAAATGCCCTCCAGATGGCGCTTCTACGTCTTGCTGCTTAAAGACCCAGCATTTCACAGGTTTCAGGAAAGACTAGCTCTTCTTTAAGGACATAACTGATTCTTCAAATGAATCCCCACATTGGGAAACTGCAAAAACAGTAATAAGGGATACAAATCAGCCTTTATGAATAGAAAAATAGTCTTTATTCCAGCAACATAATAATAATAATAATAAGCATTTTGAATATACAGTATTTATAAATCACATGAATTTCTCGCAAATTTAGCTGGGTATCGAAACCCAAATGTGGCTGAAGAAAATTGAACTATGAATTAAAAATATATATAATATTACATAAAATAATGTTCATCAGTTCAGACAGGAAGACTACCTTTAGATGTATGTATTATCAATTCTCTCACACTCCTCAACTGCCTTTAATCAGGATGTTTATTCTGTATGTAAAAGGGTTTATTGCTTGTTTAATTAGTTCACCAATCTTTAAAACAGACCACTGATCAGAAGAGTATAACCTATAAGGAGGATTGCATTTTAAGACATGTACGGCTCATTCAGTTTGAATTATGTAACACATCAGTAAAATATATTGCTCAGTATAAACTAGAATAAACATAGTTTACACCTGCTCCAGGTGTTGATGTGATGGTCTTTACTCCAGCACACACCCAGAAGGAGCCGGTCCTTCCTCACTCCTTTCTGCAACAGTGTGTTCCAGAACTGCATAAAGGTCACCTATCATGCTATTTTTAGGCATATATTATAGGTCTCAGATATATACAAATATATACAAAAACATGTCTATGAAGTGTTTTGCTCAAAAATACCAAATAGATCACCCATTCTAGCCATGCCTCATATCCCTCTATTTCAGCCCTGTTACTAAAGTGCTGATTCTGCGTATAAAGGTTAAAAAAAGAAAAAAGAGAGAGGAGGGAGCTTATGCCTGCTCATGCGAGAGAATTCTACCGCAGACAGTCAGCTAAATGCGGCCGTGATTAAACGCCATATCATGTTCCAAACCACATCAAGGATTATTTCTGAAACAGTATGGAGCTCAAATGCTTTTTCTCTTGCGGGTTTACCACAAGGCGAGTTCCTTTTTATATCCGGCTTCTTTACACATACTCTCTCCAGTACAGGTTAGCTCTGAGTGTTAGCGATGCTTGCTAATGTAAACAAAGACCTTATTACTTCCAAAACGTTGTGCATTGTTTCTGATGGGGCGTTTCTGATAGGGCCGTGGGCGTAAAGCCAGTCCACATTTCCGATATTACGTCATATCGGCAGCAAATCTGGATCAGCTCCTTTGAACCCCCGTTTTTAGAGATTTGCGCACGGAGGAAAAGAGAGAGGGTTTTATTTCTGACAGTGCATTTTGCATGATAGGAGACCTTTAACATTTGCTGCCCTCCTCGTCGTCTTCTTGTCCTCACACAATGGTGACATGTCTGTGCTTCCTGAAGGCGGGTTTCTCCACAGTGATGTAAGCATTTCCTGTGTGGGTACTGTTCACAACATCAGGCATCTAAAAACCAAAAGCAAGATTAGTTATTAAAGTAATTTGCTTCTTAAAGATAGCAAAGATTTCCAGCTATAACTCTCTTTCTCTTAAACATAATATCTGTATGATAGGCATATTCCTCCGAGGCAGATCCGGGCCCAGGTTTTAAAGCAGTCATCTGATAGCCAGCAGCGCTTGCCGGCCCCAAAAATGTATATATATACTGTATATATATATATATAAACGGCTATCACACAATGATGGCAACAAGTATCTACTGTTTTAAACAATGTGTGACCGCATTCTTCTTCTAAACTTAGCCAAAAATAACTCTAAATGTATTTTACTGATTCGTCAGACTGGCTAACATCATCCATGTAATACAACAAACAGAAATATATTATTGTTCAATCCTTTGGTGATATTTTACCAAACATTGTCAATTAAAACTGAGAAAAACATAATTTATGGGGTAATATGCAATAGCATACTTTAAGCAGCAGCTGCCACTAGGACACAGTATACTGTATGGTGCATGGTGAAACACAAGCCCAAACCCCCCCAGCTATCGTCCATTAGCCACGACAATCTGCACAGGAATTCAAAAATACGTTCTTGCCGGCTTTGTTAGTATAGGATCTGACGCAGTTTCTATCGCAAGACAAAATGTGGGCTTGGGTTGCTGGGAATGGCAGCAACGTTAACTATGACATCTTGAACTGCACCTACACTGAAAAAACTGAACCGTTGACTTTAATTAAATGTATTAAGTCAACACATTTCCCATAACTGTATTAGGTTAGTTGAAAGCAACATTATTAAGTTGAACATTTATTTTTTATTATTTAAACTTGCTTTCAACTAATACAGTTGTGTCTGTTGACATTATATTTAATTAAAATCAACATTTCAGTTGTTTCAGTGTATTGAGCTCTTGTCGGTGGAAAAGAAAACTGATTCTCACAAAGGTTGCAAGTTAAACCAACTACTAACCAACACTAGCCCAAGCACGGAAGTCAAAACGGAACTCAGTTCAGTGAGAAAAGTTTATAAGGGGTGTCTTATTATTCCGTCCGCATGACCTAACCACCACATGCCAACATTAAGCTGCTCCTAATGCTTAACACTGTGTACCTCTGAACAATATCTCAAAAACCTTACTTCAGAAAAAGTGGAGCCATTTGCCGGGAAAAAGCCGCTGTCAGTGAGTTCAGTGGGAGCGACACCTGTGAACGGAGAAGAGAGACAGGACAGACTTCATTTCTCACGGGTAGATTATACTGTAGCTTGGTGGGGCAGGTATCAAATAGGTATCAAGCTTGTGTGTGTTTGTGTGCATGCAAGTTTGGGTCTTACTTGTTTGACCCTCCGACACATATCCTGTGTTCTCCTGGCCCTGATTCTGTCCCGCTCCATGGACAGTACTGATCTGGCTCTGAGTCCTCACTCTTCTGCTGCACATACATGATTGATAACAGAGGATTCAGACACATGTAGATGCTGTGATACAACAATAACATGCTGTTGTTAAGAGTAGTGACAAAATATCCATCTTACCTCATTTCATCTTCGTATTTGGTTTCTGCAGAGGATTGTCAACAACAAATTACTTAAAGTTAATGTGATAATGTTTGCTGAAGACTATAGGTTTGACTTCTTTAGTGATTTCGGACATACTGTATTGTGGAGCTTTATACCAATATCATTTTTTACCAATATAATGATGCCTTACTTTTTTCTTTCCTCCTTTTGTAGCAGAAGATGATTCCAATGATGAGCAAAACCAGCAGAGCAAAAGATCCAATGGACACGACCACAGCTATCAGCACGGTCCAGTCCGTAGGCTTTGGAACTGTTAGAGAAGACACTCAAAGACTTAAGACATTTAATTGTCAAATTAATGTGTCAAATTGATAATACTGAACACATCCAAAATGAGAGGCAAAACATTCCCTTTATGAGGACACACACACTGAAAGCACAGACTAATTGTGCACATACATTTCCATTTTCTCCAATACCTTTTGTTTGGATGGGAGAATTGTGGTGAAGGATTATTACATCATACAGTATTTAGAGCCTGAATGGAGGAGGCTGATGTGATAATTAAGTCTAACATATCTCAAATGGGCAGTATGCAGGTTTGCACCTTGCAGTCAGACACTGAGGCGTCTCCTTAATCTACCACACTGTAAAAATCTCTTCCAAATGGGCTTAATGGAAATGGATGCATACCCTATGACTTGTGCTGCTCCTCCATCGTAGACAGCATGTTATCCATGTTGGAAGCTGTACACTAATGGATATTGCTTTTAGTGTAATTCTATCAGGTATTGTTTTTTATTCAATTAAGATCTGGTTTTATCAGATTATTCTTCAGTTACATAGGTTATATGTTCAGGAGTAGAGATGGTCTTTTTGCAGGTTCTCAAACATTCCTAAATCATGGATTAAGAAGTGTACATTATTGCAACTGAGAGGTAATAAAGACATCAACTCATCCTTATATCTACCATCATCTTTAGGTAAAATATATCATTCGTTTTTGGAATACCATCAAAACTAATGATATTCCCGTCAGCCTCAGCTGTACTCTGTTGGAGTTAGCCATTTTTTTTTTTTTTTTGGGCCAGATTAGCCTTTATTGGAGATGACAGTGTTGAAAGGAGGAGACAGAGGGGATGACATGCGTACATGGTCCCAGGCCGGATTTGAACCTGGGTCCTCCGCATGGGAACTGAGTCCCTTTACATGGACCGCCAGCTCTACCAGGTGAGCTATAAGGCGGCCCATAGTTAGCAATTATTAGCATACTACACTGACATTGTCACTGTGAGCATGTTAGCATTTATTTCAAAGCACAACTGTGCCTCTGTAAAGCCTCATAGAGTGGTCCAGGAATGAGTGCATAATGCTGGAATGAGTTAGCATTATACCACTTCCTGTTCCCTCATCTTGGAGTCACCTGTTTTTGAACATGTTTTTGGTTAGATGCCTGAAATAAGGTCTATGGTTAACACAAGTTTAAGAGATTACCACGGTTTGTTCTAAGGCATAACATTATGTCAGTCAATAACCCACTGAAGATTTTAGGTGTCTTAAAACAGTGGCTGCTAACAAGTGACTAAATGAGACTACTAAGTGCCATCACACAAACATTAGCCACCTTTAGCTTAGTGGTGGTGACGCCAAACATTAGCTTTTTACTTACGTTTACTAAATGTTGTGTTAATATGTGGAGATTATCCTGCTGAAGCAAGTAAGTATCTTTAATGTGTGCTTGCCACAGAGCATATTGTCTGTAATGTTCCAAAATGCAATGAAAAAATCTGATTGTTTTTTTGGTTGAGGGAGCCCTTGCGATGGTAACCTCCGGGTAGGCCTAAAAAGTTCCAAAGCTCCACTCTATAGTGTAAAATTAGACTTGGTTTTATTGATAATACCACTAGGCAACCAAAAAACTACCTTTTAACTCCATACTCTTGTTTTGAGGAAAACTAACTAAGCAACAAAACTATTGGACTTGTCCAACTTCAGAACAGCTGAGAGGAGGCTTTTTTGCAAGAGAGTGTGGCGGATCTTACCAACCACCAAGTAGACGGAGCTGGATTGTGGGCTGGCTAGTGTCTCCACAGTCGCCCAGCACTCTATCTGGGTGTCTCTGACTGCCTGGAACTTCAGGACACTGGTGCAGTTGAAGAAATCCCCGTCAGCCATGCTGGTGGTGTTGTACAGGCTGCTGTTCACAGCCTCAGAGTTCCAGGTCCAGCTGACAGTAGGTATGGGGAACCATTTGGACGATACACACTGGAACTCCACCTGCTCGTCCTGCGTCACCGTCACATTTCCTCCCATGATGTTCACGGTACCACTCTCTGAGAGATACATGTAATTAATACATTTACATGGAAATTAAATATTATAATAAAAACGTGTAGAATATACAACACTTACTTACACACACAAGTTTTCTCACACACGTGACATGTTTGCATTGGTATGATGTATGTATGTATGTTTGGTTTTGTTTCAGCCAGTTATGCATTAAACGTTTTTAAATTGTGTAATCGTTTCTGTTGGTATGAAAAATATGTGTCCCTTCTACTGAGAAAGATGGCTGGCTAAAAGAAGTCTAGCGCTAAGCCACCCTGCATTTAGCATTTACTTATCCTTCAAAGACCAATGGACAAATTGCAGCTGGAGCAAGATCGATGGTTAAAGGACCTCTGACTTTGGACCTGAGAGTTCTTGCTGGTCTCTATCTTATTAGGATGTTTTTATGAACTAGAGGTGCAAGGAGATTTTGAGCCTCGTATACAAGTGGTAGAATTTTAAGATCAATCCTTGTTTTAACTTGGAGCCAAGGCAAAGATCTAAGAGCAAGTACAATTTAGTTCCAGTATGAACAAGTTCAGCCGCATTTAGCTGGAGTCACCACAATAGTGAATCAAATATTACAGTACTGCTGTGTATTACCCCTGTACAGTCTATGGGATTACCCCTTTTTCACTCAAATAAGCTCCTTTCTTGTTTCATGCTGGGGTTGGTGTTGGTTCGCAGTTGGTTCAATTTGCGAAACACCTCGTTCCAGTTTGCTTTTCCACCAATCAGAGCCCCAAAAGAGCAACATTGTGATGTCTTGTTGCTACATTTCAAGCAAGCCAGCGTAAATATTACACACAATAGTTAAAATGGCAGACTGCCTCGGAGCTGTGAACAATTTGCTCTTATACTTACTAAAACAGATTGAATCACAAGCACGACTTCTCCAACAACTTTATACTCTTTTTCAAAGTGTTGCTAAGTTTGAGAAGTGTCTAATGGTATTCCACTATAAATCAGAGGCAAATGCTTGTGCCTGGATGCATCCATAGTGGTAATATATTGTCTTACCAGTTTATTGATAAATAGTGTATTTTTCACGATGATTTAGCTCCTGATTGTCTTATATGACAACTTGTTTGTGTATTTATTACACCTGATACTCCATCAAAAAAAGCTAATAAACAGCTTATGCTACTGTAACAGGTTGATATGGGTCTTTTCTAACCGACTTACACCACAATGGTAGCGAATGGGGACGTTTATATGGTGAATGATAAATAATTATCATGCATGAATATTCAAAAAGCATTCCAAAGTTTTTTTCTGATGGAGAAAGGGTATACAAATGTGTTTTATTTAGCCACAGCTGATGTTATATATAGACTTCTTTCTGCAGACTGATATGACTGCACATCTTCAGTGAGGAAATCCCTTCACCAGAGCATCCTCAGCAGCGGTCTGCTAACGAAAAAGAGCAGACCGCTGAATGTCCAAATCAGAATAGAGTATTCAATGGAACCCTGTAATGAACTTATATAACTGCAGCCGGACATCTTAATGGCCCTACCTTGTACGTAGAGCTGTGCCGTCTTTGAGCCGTAGTTCCCCTGCACAGAGCAGGTGACGGCCCCCCCCTCCCTGCGGGTCACGTTCTCGATGGTGAACTCCACACAGCTGGGGTCACCGCTGGAGCAGAATCTGGCAGAGAACTGCTCTGAGGAGGAGATGATGTCACCGATGACAGTGGTTACCAGATGGCCTCCCACAGTCCAGGTCATGCCCTTCCATGCTCCTTGCACGGTGGCGTTGAATCGCACAGCAGAACCGTGGAGCACTGTGGCATTCAGCGGCTCCAGCTGGAACTGTCCTGACACAGCTGAAAAAAGAGAGGATTGCTTTGAGTCAAATCTATGAGAGACCAAATACTGTATCTTTAGTCTATGGCACAGGGGTCAAGCTGGAATTGTATAAAGACTGGACATATTTGTTCAACTGAACATCGTCATGTGTGTTGTGATGACTGAAGTCTGTCTACCATTGCATTGATTTTCATTGATAGAATTCCTATGTACAATAAATACATTCATGTTAGTTTAACTCAATTATTTATGCCGCCTTTTATTTGATTGAATTGACAGAATAAAAATTCAAGTTTAGATTGCAAGGTTTATTTAAAGGTCACCTATTCTGCAAAATCCACTTTTTCATGTCTTTTATGTAAGGGATAATGTGCAGCGAGGCGGTCATTATGGGGAAAAGAACACCCTTCAAGCTGATCAAGCATGCTGATCAAGATCCCTCCGCTTCGCGTCGGGCTCCTGAACAGGAGTGTTCTTTTCCCCAGAATGACCAAGTCGCTGCACATTATCCCGCTTATTACAAGGCCACATTCTCAACAAAGTAACGATATGACTCCCATTATTAATTGAAATGCTTTTATAGATTTAGAAAATGTTTTTATTGATTTAAAAAATTGTTGATTTAAAATGACATGCATCCGCTAAGAAAAATAGTCCGTTGTTACTGTTTGAACTACGTAGCAAAGGCAGGAACTGCTTCGATAGCGTTTTTGCGGACCTTTTTGATTACAGATTTGAAAACATTGTTGCTTTCTTTAAAAGTAGCACAATTCATTATGTCAAACCTATCTACCTAGGTATCTAGATATCCCTGCCCTCATGCCAAAGTAACTGGCAACTGAATATGTTTTGCCGTTTGATGTCTATGTCTGGACCGTTGCGTAAAAAGGAGGGTTTCTGCCCCGTTACTTCTCCGCTGTTTTCTTGTCCCAGTTCTGTATACAATTAAATCGACCGGACTTCTTTGTGCAGATGTGAGCGTCCTTAACAACGGTCAATAAGTCCTTGACAGCGGTCTGTCTGTACTGGATTAACAACGTGTCACGTGTTCTGAATTGACCAATCAGAATCGAGTATTCAACTAAGCCATGTAATAAACATAAATATGTGTCCCCTCTGTGTAAAGAGATTCTGAAAGTTTCAGGAACAAATATTCTCTCACTTTTTGTCCTGATCCATTTATATAAAAACCTGTCTGAAAATGAGCTGATCAGATTTTGGCCACTTTATGATGTCATAAAGTTCTTTTGGCTTGTATAACCATTAGCCAATCACCAACCAAGGAAACACCCCCCACCTTATCACCTGAATCTCCTCCTACAGCATTTGTATCTAAAGTCCCAGAATCAGCATTTTTGTAACAAGGCTGAAATAGAGGGGTATGAGGCATGGCATGTTTTGTATATATATATTTATATATCTGAGACTTTGATGAAAAACAGTATAATAGGGGACCTTTAAACAACAGGATTATTGCCTTATTGTTTTTTTGGTTTATACCAAAGATATGCAGTTTCAATAGGCTCTCAAAAAAAATGTGTTCTGATATTTTGAACACTACATATCCCTATCCATAAATATATAATAATTTGATTGAGCCCTCCCCATAAAAAGTAAAAAAAGTTGCCCGAGTTGAATTTCTGTATGCTACTACAGGTTTTGTGTGCAGCACATTGCAGGTGCTCACATTCATTGGTTATGCATGCAATGTGAGAAGCAAAAGAGAGAAATATGTCGTAATAGTGTCACTGATTTAAATCTGTTCAGCAACTCTGTTTGAGCTCGTCCTTCAGGACAAAGGAAGGCTGCATAGTATGGCACATAACACTCTTTGTTCAAAACTGTGCTTAAGTTTGCTCAGAGTAAATAAATATCACAAAGGAAAAGTTCTGTAAGTGGACTGATACTCAAACACATCTTTAATGTGGGCTCAGATTACACATGCTGACATAGAGTTTAAGAATGTGTCTGGATGTTTTCTTGAATCGTTTGTGAGTAAGCAGAATGCCATTTTCTCTGTGTTGACATTTTGATGAGAATGTCTGATTAGATTTCAAACAGTCTGGTTTGCTTTAGCTTTCTTTGTTCAAGGCAGTATTAAGGGTAATGATTAATCACTATTAGAAACCCTCAGCAAACATGTTAGACGTGCTGTGGTGTTCAGAGAGTGCGACTCTGGTGATAAAGAGCTTTTAAGACTTGTTTGCAATGTAATTCAAAACCAGTACACTGAAAAAAATGAAACATTAACTTGAATGAAATGTATTATGGCAACAGATTTTACAAAACTGTACCAGGTTAGTTGAAAGCAATTATATTAAGTTATAAATAAAAAAGATTAGGTTCCACTCATTTGTATTGATTTCAACTAACCTAATATAGTGAGGTGAAATATGTTGACATAATACATTTCATTCAAATCAACGGTTCAGTTCAATTTTCTGAAATTTCATTTAATTCATTCTCATCAGGAGTCGATACAAGAGATTCAAGCAATTGAATTTCCCCACAGGGATCAATGCAGTTTAATATAGCCCTTCTGTAAGACCGTTTACCTTTCATGTCTATTCAAATGCCAGTAAATTGTGCTATTAAATGACTGAATTTTCATAAATCCCATGTGGAAAATAAGCTTTATTTCGGTAGAATATTGATCAATTCTGTCCAGCTCAGGAGATTTGTATAGACTTAAAAAATGAGTTCTGACCTCCGGTTGCAGACAGTAATAAACAGACGAGGAGGAGGTTGGGCTGTGATCTCCAGGAAGCGCTCATGTTGTTGTTGTTCCTGAGGTCCAGAGTCCTATACAATTGAGAAAAAGCTATAAATAATAATTCACATATCTTGGTTGGAATGAACTAAACTGAAAACTGGAAGGCAATTCAATTAAAACTTCAGCGGCGAATGCCAGAGAAAGTGACAGAAGGACATGATGATTTTACAACTACATTAATAGATGGCAAAATACATATATATTGGGAAGATAACCTAAAATAAATGGCCTAAACTCAGCCATCATTTCTCTAAATCAGAGCAGAGGCACCAAGAAAATTACAATAATATACTCAATGACCAGCTTGGAGAAAATGACTTTCAAAGTTCAACATTATTTGAAAAACTGTGCTTGAATGAAATCTACAAGTATCCTCTTTCAGGCAAAAATGATAATCCCTAAATAAAGAATTAGCCAGTTTTATTTCCTATGTTGTTGTAACTTACTCAATACAAAACCTGACAGATAACATTGTCGTCACTCCTTTATAGCCTTCCATACTTTGCTAGTGTTGGTATTAAAGCAATCGTCTCAGTAGATGAATTACCTGCCTTCATAACTAAATATTCCTCAGAAGTAAAAGCATTTTCAGTTAAAACAACTTACCGACGACGAGCTCCCGGTGAGTGTTTGCATCAAAGCGTCATTTCCTGAAACAGCAGGTGAGCAGCAGGACTCCACCCAACTGTAAAGCTCTCACACAGGGAGTAAGGTCCAGCCCTTATCACCTCACCACACCTGTAGTTCAGTGCTGTGTGTGTGTGTGTGTGTGTGTGTGTGTGTGTGTGTGTGTGTGTGTGTGTGTGTGTGTGTGTGTGTGTGGTGTGTGTGTGTGTGTGTGTGTGTGTGTGTGAGTGAGGCTGAGGCTTTCACCTGCTGGCAGGATGCACTCAACACAGCTTTATTCCATGGTGCATTTAGTCTTAAGTCTGATGCAATGTTCACTTTATTCTTCCACATTTTCCAGCTCATTCTGTTGTGTGCTATTATTCTAAAATGATAAACAAGTGATTAAGGGTTAGTCATGTTTTACAGTGTCATTAATTAGAAATCCTGAATATTTAGAAAACAAAAGTTCCCAACACCATTTTAGTGAAGAAATGGTCAAAGGTGTTAAATAATAATAAACTGAAGATTACATTCTCAATGGCAGCTGGTTCTGACTGGGTGATGTTTTTCATCTCAACCACTAGAGGTCACTGTAGGATCATGCTGTGCTTTGTATTTGCGGGCATTTTAAAATCACTTTATATTTTTGTCATGTTTACCATAAGGTGCCAAATGTGTTTTTATTGGACAGAAATTGATTCAAATGCAAAGCAACTACTTAATACATTACGAATGATTTCAACATGGCATTAATTGCATGTTTCAATACAAAAACATCCATAATATCTTATTAATACTAATACACCACTTTATGTATTTGAATAATAATGCTTTAAATCGTAGTACAAAGTAAACTTTTTTTTATTTAATTTGTTATGTTTGTATAAATATTTGTATTTTATTTTATTCAATTATTTTTGGACATTTTACTTTAAATTCTGATGTTTATATAAATATTATTTATTTTATTTCTATTTTTATTGCAAACTTATTTTAATGTCTTGTCTTTATCTAAATATTTTAATTCTATTATTTTTGATTTATGTTGTATTTATTTTTGTTCTAAAATGAAGTCATGAAACCCAGTTTCCCATGGATAAATATATTCTTCTGATGATTGTTGTACATTTAAAGTATGTAGCAACCAACATGCTCTGTGTTATGTGTTCATAATTGCACCGTGACTCATACACAATTTATATCACATGATTTGTATGGTTTGAGGTTTCTTACTTGATTAGTTTGCATTTAATATGTTTTAAGTGCAATGCGTGAATAAGAGTAACAATGAGCGCACACTGAAGCTGGAGAACAGACAGCTGAAGTGTTTCTAAAGCAGATCTCACATGGCGCTCAGAGAAGATGGCTGCATGTATCTGTCGTGCTCTGTTCCTCAGGAGGGCAGCAGTAGGAGCTGGAATGTCTCCAGACACAGCTGGTATTGTATAGGCAGAAGCGAACAGACAACCATGAAAAACAGGAAGTAGATGGTGGGGGAGGGTCAGCAGCAGTCGTCCCTCTGGTCCCCTGCATAGGGCCCGTAATGGGAGTCATTCAGAGGGCCCCGTCTGCTCCCAGAGCTGCGTGTCAGAGATCATGGGCCATAACTCATCATGGATGCTCGTCTTTGTTCGCCTCCATGGCTTCTGGGGCATCCTTTTATTTCATTTTATTGTTTGCAATCTCAGATTAGTTCCATTGACTTACCCCCATTTTCTCAGAGAGTAAGATATGGCCCCACAATGCTACATATTTCACACAAAACAAGGCAAGTCTTCGGAGCATAGTTAATTGTCTTTGTGGGATTTGTTTTCGTTTTGAGAGCTGCTTGTTAATCAATGGTCAAAGCCGACGGAGGTTTATCGTTACTGAGCTTATTAGGCTCACCTCCTCCTTCTCCTACATTACATGACATTTTCTCTCCTTCTTAGACTACAACACATTCCTTATTTTATTTTTAATAACTGCATGTGACACTTGTGTTTGACTCTTGTACACAACCCCCCAAAAATAAAGAGGGAGGTAGCAGGCTATTATCATTAATAGTCTACATATTTTGTATACTTTATTGCAAAACTCAATATTTAATGTTATTTTGGTCTTTTATCTCCTTCTATTTTACATTTGTATTTCCTGCATTTTAGTTGCAAGAGAATGCAACTAAAATGCAATTTTTTAAATATTTATTCTTGTACTATCTTTATTTCTTTTAATTTCTCAAGTATACTGTATGTTGCATTGTTGGAGGAGCCTCTGGCTTAAGATTGAATAGCCAAAACTACGCTGTAGCTGTTGTGCAAATGATAATAATAGTTTTAAATTGGAATTTGTAGTGGAATACAAGTATCATCTTTAAATTACATGTACTCCGTTCATTAAAAAAAATGCTAGCATAGTTTCTGTATAAATTGGTGTGGTTTATGCTGTGGACTATTCTCTGGTTCTGTAGCCCCCCCTTACACAAACCGGTGTAATCTGGCTTTACCTGCTGCTCCATATGGGAAGGTTGCATTCACTGCATGGGAGAAATCCACTTAGTAAGAGAGAAGGATCTATCTGCCTGCAGCAAAAGATACATATTACACCACCTTGACCCATGGTTGCTTCACAGGGCGTAGTAAAGACACACAACTTCTCTGTTCCTGGTCTATAAGACTTAAGCAGCTTCTATTTATAAATTGTAAAGTGTGTTTGTGAAGAAGATACATGAAAACGTTGCCTTCTGTTAAAGAGGCTTTGGATGAGGTCACCTTTACCTTCAGCCTGTCACCTTTCCCTGGGGATTATGCCAATGTCTCTGTTCCAGTTTCCTGAGACAATTCCAACTGAGGTCACTTTGCGTTATAACCGCTCTCTGTGTACATGTTGTCTGTTTTGTCATCAGAGGTGGAAGAAGTACTCAGATATTGTACTGAAGTAAAAGTTGCAGTAACAAAGTGTAGCAATACTCTGCTACAAGAAAAAGTCCTGCAATAAAAATGTTATTCAAGTAAAAGTAGAAAAGTATTAGCATCAATGTACTTAAAGTACCAAAAGTAAAAGTAGTCATTGTGCAGATTGGTCCATTTCAGAATAATATATATGATATGTTTTATAATGATTGATCATTAAAGTGTTCTCAAAGCTGGTAAAGGTGCAGCTAGTTTGAATGACTTTGTATACTGCAGGGTAGCTTGTGAATTTACTCCAGGTGGAACTAAAGTCTGATTTAACACTTGATTATATTTCACATCATTCATCCACATCTGTGAAGTAACTAAAGGTATTAAATAAATGTAGTGGATACACAATTGAAATCTGAACTGTAGTCCTACAAATGTGTACTTAAGTACAGTACTTGAGTAACTCTACTTAGTTACTTAACACCACTGTTTGTCATCTCATCTGTGATGGAAGGGCTCCTTACAACTATAAGGCCCTTCATATTTATTATAAATTATGTTGTAGTATACCTGGGCCTGGGTGTTTCTTGTAACATTCCATCATGTCTGGTAATTTATTCATGTCATGTTAAGTTAGTTAATTAGGTTCATGTTATTTGTTTCATGTTTAATTCAAAGCCCAGGTTAGATTTATGTTTAAACAAGTCTCTTTGTTCCCCTGTCTAGTCCTGTCATTGCACTTCCTGTTTTATTTTGGTACTTACCTTTCTCTCTCGTTTCAGAGCTCTCCTGCCCTTGTGTGTCTTCCTCCCTGTGTGATTGTCAGCCCCTCCCTTGATTGTTGCCACCTGTGTCCCATTACCTCTTGTATATATAGTCCTCGTCTTAAGTAAAGACCTTTAGAACAGCAAACTTTCTTTTGAGTCCAAGTGTCTGTGTAACGTTCCTAACATTTCTGTATCATAGCACACATTTGTAAAACAAACTAAATCTGTGCCATAAATATCATGTCATGTCATATCTCAGCTCAGATTGCATTCTAATGTGGAGGACTCCAGCTTTGTTTCGCTCGAAATTCTAAGGAAGATGGGAGGGACACCTTTTCCAAGTTAATGAGTCAAAGACTAGTAACAACCAGCAGAACAGGTTTATGTGCCGTTTACACAGGAACGAAAACGGTTGTATCCGCTACTTTTCTCTTTGGTATAGCCCGTTCGTTCACACGAGGCCGTAACGGAAACGCGGAAACGGACCCCTAAAACTATAACGGGTCCCAAGGTAGATCTGTGGACGGAACGCTCTGGGGGGCCAAACGGCTCCGTGTGTACGTCCTATACGATCATTTTTCTGATAACGATGAAGCCATAGCCCCGCCTCTCCCCACCTCTGCTGCTCACTGCTGTAGCCAACACACTCTCACTCCCTAAGCATCCAGGAGCGACGCTTGGTCAGGGTCCCGTGGCGTCCAGTTGTGACGCGCCGAGGCTCCTTCAGCTTCATAAACGGATGCAAAGAGCTTTCAACTGATTGCAATGTATTCCCATCGGTGGCGGTATTTGACGCTTAGGGAAGCACGGCATTCGTTTGTGTCGGAGGCTGTTAAAGGTAATGTGAGCGTCCATTCCCATTGGATAACGGAGAATTGTACACCCGGAAGTAAGTATTCCCCTTACTGTCGATTGATTTGACAGTGATATCTCCACTACTCATCAACTCAAAAACACCAGATTATCCTTGTTAATTAAACGACATTGATAGGTTTTAGTGTGTGTACAATGCTTTTGTCACGTTTTCCCCTTCAATTCTGAGAAACAAGTCGTTTTCTATGAGTTTTGGATGGCTGAAGACATTACATTACCCACAATCCTCTGTAGCAACCATAGACTGTATAAAACAATTAAATAATACATTATTCCGAGTGTGCTTGCTTTTCTCTTTGAAAGTCATCACATAACGGCATTGTAATACACGTTTCGGCTGCATTAAATATGACATATCTGCCGTAGTTAACTCTATTTATAGAGCCCTGATGAGAAGACTTCTAGACAAACAGGAACTGCCGCCAAAACTGAAAACTTGACGTGGATCTTAAATATATAAGCAATTAAACAACATCTTACATTTCTTTTCACACAATACGTCTCCTTGCAGTATCAACACTAATTCGGCTGACTTTTATATTTGATCCAATTGGTAGATAGGCTGTATTTACGCCATAACGGTGCACAGCTGATAGAAAGGGACACCTCCTGGTTAAAGCACGTTATTGCATTTTATCATTTTATTATTAGATATTAATAGGAGGATGTGCAAAACAGACAAACTAATAAGGCTTTATTTAAACATTAAATAATACTTTAGGTTAAGGTCTTCTTTTGAATAAGAAAAAAGCTTTGGGGGTATAGAAGATGAATATGGAGGGATGAAACCCTCTTTGATGGTCACACATGCAGAGCACACAGCACACACAGTGACATTTGTATCGACAGATAAATATTAAGCCTGACAAAGTACTTAACGTCTAATATATTGCTTTCCTGCAATGTTAACTATGTTTAAGCACTTATTTTAACTGATATTATACATATGTATTATACTCTTATAAGATGTATGTAGATAGTATAAGAAATGTGCAGAATATGACACTTTAATGGTGGAGGTACACACATAAATGCACTGTTGAGGAACCTGCGACCCAAGTTTTTCATTCATTGCATAACTACACCGTAGTTGTGTATAATATGATATGTCAATAAACCTTAGAAAATCTTGAAATCTTGAAAGGGATGTGCAAAATAGTCATTATATACAGTCTTTAATGTCAATAAACCTTAGAAAATCTTGAAATCTTGAATGGGATGTGCAAAATAGTCATTATATACAGTCTTTAATTAACTATTAGTAGAGAATAACGACGAGTAAAGAATATACTTTATAGGGATCCTATTAATATCTAATAATAAAATTATAAAATGCAATAACGTGCTTTAACCAGTAGGTGTCCCTTTCTATCAGCTGTGCACCGTTATGGCGTAAATACAGCCTATCTACCAATTGGATCAAATATAAAAGTCAGCCGAATTAGTGTTAATACTGCAAGGAGACGTATTGTGTGAAAAGAAATGTAAGATGTTGTTTAATTGCTTATATATTTAAGATCCACGTCAAGTTTTCAGTTTTGGCGGCAGTTCCTGTTTGTCTAGAAGTCTTGTCATCAGGGCTCTATAAATAGAGTTAACTACGGCAGATATGTCATATTTAATGCAGCCGCAACGTGTATTACAATGCCGTTATGTGATGACTTTCAAAGAGAAAAGCAAGCACACTCGGAATAATGTATTATTTAATTTTTGTATACAGTCTATGGTTGCTACAGAGGATTGTGGGTAATGTCATGTCTTCGGCCATCCAAAACTCATAGAAAACGACTTGTTTCTCAGAATTGAAGGGGAAAACGTGACCAAAGCATTGTACACACACTAAAACCTATCAATGTCGTTTAATTAACAAGGATAATCTGGTGTTTTTGAGTTGATGAGTAGTGGAGATATCCACTGTTCGAAATAGGGGGGGGGGGCCAGGGGGACCCCAAAGAGGGAGGGAGCTCCCCTGAAGGCCGACTTTGAGATAAATAGGGGGAGCCCAAAACAATCGTGCATATTTGTGTCACACAGATTAGAAATGTTGAGTTTCTGTAAATAACAGTTCTTGAAATAAATAATAGTTATTGTTCATTACAGTTTCTGAATATTTGTTTTATATTTGTGAATATTTCTGGGTATTGCCATCTGTACGTGGCGGCGCTGCATTCTTTACGTTGCTATGGTTACGGTGGCGATGCCGGCGCGGTATTTGAAATGTTCATATTGATATTTTTTTAACTCTGGCTTTGTAATAAAAAATATGGCAAAACGAAAACAGCCAAGCGTTGCAGCTTTTGGATTCACAAGCAAAGAAGCGAAGGAGTCTAAAAATGACAACGTGAACGGAACAACTTTTAGTTGGCCGGCTGTAAGCGGCGTTAGGGTCGAGTTTGACAGCTCCACACCGAGGGAGAGGCCTGCCGATGCGGAGCCTGAAGAGGCTTCAACAACGGCCACAGCCGCCGGCGTAGTGACACCTTCTGTAGTAGTAGCAGAGTGATTTTATAGCAATTGATCGAATCTGTCAACAGAGCGTGCGTGTGACATATTTAGTAGCACTGAAAAATAGGGCTCCCCCGAAAGCAAATGGGTAATTCGAACACTGGAGATATCACTTTCAAATCAATCGACAGTAAGGGGAATACTTACTTCCGGGTGTACAATTCTCAGTTATCCAATGGGAATGGACGCTCACATTACCTTTAACAGCCTCCGACACAAACAAATGCCGTGCTTCCCTAAGCGTCAAATACCGCCGCCGATGGGAATACATTGCAATCAGTAGAAAGCTCTTTGCGTCCGTTTATGAAGCTGAAGGAGCCTCGGCGCGTCACAACTGGACCCCACGGGACCCTGACCAAGCGTCGCTCCTGGACGCTTAGGGAGTGAGAGTGTGTTGCTGTAGCATGGTCAGTAGCTACTGTCAGTAGCTACTGTCAGTAGCTACTGCTACTGCTACTGACCATGCTACAGATGTTAGTGCAAAATCTACAGCTCCTCTACCACAACCATCAGCAACAAGTGGACATGGAGAACTACATGTTGCTAAATCCACCGCGGAGAATAAACAGAAGGGCAACAAGGCAACCATGGCAACCATGGCAACCATGCTCGGGCGTATTCTTCGCTGCTTTTGGTGTATTTTGTGGCGGAAGTACAGCGCCACTTACAGGCCCGGCATATGTACTACATCGCTTTTGAGCGGTCTCGTGCGGAAGTACAGCGCCACTTACAGGCCCGGCATATGTACTACAGCATCTCCAGCGCTTTCGAGCGGTCTCGTGCGGAAGTACAGCGCCACTTACAGGCCCGGCATATGTACTACAGCGTCTCCAGCGCTTTCGAGCGGTCTCGTGTGAACGGAAGACTTTTTTGATATCGTATTCGGTTCGTTTGCGTTTCGTATGCGTTTGCGTTCCCGTGTAAATGGGGTCTTGTACTTTAACGATGATCATGAGCAAACTGTTAAATGTTAGTAAAGCTGGTTGTTCCCCACCCTGGTCTTTTACCATCAACAATCCCAGTGAGATGAAGTAAACTCCTGGTGTCATTACCTTAAGAATATTGGCAGGCATCAGCATGTGAGTGAAATGTCACATACATGTGTGATAAGGGTTGGAAGGATTCTCCAAACCAAATTATATTTGGTGTGTTTGCAAACTGCTGCTGAATGCAATACCTGCAGGAAGTGGCGTTCCACTGTGAGCCGGGTCTGTTCGATGTTCACACCAGGTGGAAGAGTTTGAATGTCCCAGTGGAAGCAAAGCACCTCAAAAGGGTTATTAATCCCTCTGGGGATAATTCAATAAAAGAAGAATTTAAGCCTGAGTGGAATATCACTGAATGAAAGTCCCTGTAAATAAATGGCCATCACCTTACTTTCTCCACCAATTAGTGGCAGTGGCTGTTACTAAATATGTTTTAATATTTTGCTTGTTAGAAAAACAAATTTGATCACAACTGAGTAGAAATGTCTAGGAATACCTTTCTAAAAGACGAAAAAGAAGAATGCCCTTGTGAAAATATAATGTAACTTATAGCATTTTCTAGTGAAACAACATCAACATGCAGCAGTACATCTGTCCATGTTTCAATGTTGTTTGGGTTAGGCCTGATTTGTAATGCAAATAGATGATTGTGTCAAAGTTAATCTTATAGTGATGAATTTCCTGCTTAAACAGGAAGTAGGAATCTCCTAAATGCAGGGAGGGATCATTAAAAAGTCGACTCTCTAAAGGAGCAAAGAAAATAATTGTTTTATGATTTGTACTTGACTATTAACCTGTGTTATTTTTGTTGGTTGGAATTATTATTAAATAATGAGTATATATATAAGTATATAAGGCACACATTTTGTGCCTTTTATACTACAAAGCATCATTAATTGAATCATACTAACATGCCAAACATTTTAATATTGGCACTTATGGAAATTGTATATTGTTGACTCTTTTTTTCCTACTTGAAAATACAGCTCTTTGCTCGAGTTAATTCTGGGGATAAAATGAAAGGAAGCCTCTTATACAAAAACATATTTTTCCTCAGGACCAGCCAAATGAAAAATAAAAGCTTTACATAAATTATTGATAAAAGTATGCGCCTCAATACGTCATTATCTTGTACACAGGATAAAGGGTATGGAATGGCAGTCATTTATATCATTAAGTGTAGCATATGTGTATTTCAAGTATTGTCTGTTTTCTGGGCAGGACAACAATAATAAGACAGTGGTCAGGGATGGAGGGAAGTGGGAAGAAGCACTGTGAGTATGCTAGAAGCGGTAGCCATGTCTGGAATCTGGATAGCACACTGGACGGTGACACACAGGAGCCAACACAAGCCAGGAGCTGTAGCCTATCCTCACGTATCTTGTCGCCATTTTCCTACGCCAAAATACAAAAGACCTGCCAGGGGGGATACACAGTTATATCTCAATGTCCTGCCAATAAACAGAACACATTTTCTTATATGACTCGCATTAAAGGCGTTAATGTGATGCTATGAGAGCCAATCCTTGAACATTTAAAAAGAAGCATGTTTTGGAAAACACGTATCTGTGCGCGAGAGGAAGACACATTCAATGACAGTTCGCCTCGTTACGGCAGATGGTAGCTCTCCATGTTTGTTGACTGACGTGTCACGCACCCAAGCAGGTAGGAGCACAAATTTGAAATCTTGTTGCTGACCATTGTCTTGTCCAATCACCGGGCAGCGGAGGCGGGGTATATCACCGTCAATCATGCAGGAACTATAACGGTTTGAATAGGGAGGGAGGGGGAGAATCCAATCCGGTTTGAGCTAGTTCTTCTTCCAATGGAACATTAACGTCTCGCTGCGCTGTATTAGACTGTACTGGTACAGCTTTATCCACAATATAGCCTGCAACTGTATTTTCAGCTGTATTGACTTACATTTAGCCGTTTTTCTTTCTTAAAATCACCACACGCAAACCAACCATGCCTAAAAGGAGCAGAGTGAGTAGACCGACATCTTTCATGCATTCAGTAATACTGCATTTATTACCCCCGGCTGCAGTTTGTCAAATGGGCTCGATAGCTTGCAGACACAGTTGTTAAAATGTAGCTACAAATGTCCGTGTTGTTTTCCGGGTGAGCGTAAACAATGTTGCAGCTTGCAGCTGGACTTGTTCTGTTTTGATGTTACAAGTCGGGTTGTGTCTGTTATCGCTCGTGCAGTGATTATCTTTGTGCAAGAGCTTTTCCGTGAGTCGGGGTTTCCCGCACAATGGTCTCTGCACAGTTGCAACATTTTATAAATACATTGAGCTTGTTGCAGTGTAGGTTTCTCTGTCGATAGACGGCTTTCTGTAGAGAAAGTTGGCGGCATATTGATTGTTTCCTATGGGGGTCGTCACGCTGGATACTCAAGTTTCTATGAAAGCGGATTGAATGTTCTTCGCTGGGCTTTAATGGTAGCTTACTGTGTTTGTGTGGGCACTAATACTTGTTTACGGAACAAAACACAACTTTAATACAATTTGACGATTATAGAATGTTTTCCTTCAATAAAAATAGCGTAATGTTAGTTAATGTTGCATATATTGAAAGACGTTCGTCGTGTTTTCACGGTGTATGGTCGGTTATGCAATGGCGAGCCTCCGTCAGCACAGCGCTGCTCCTGTTGCTGGGCTTCCAGTAGATTCTGCACAGCGACTCTGTTCAAATCCATGGCGGGAACGCTCTCTAACACGGTATTCTGGAAATCCCATTTATTACCTATGAATGGATGAGGAGGCGGAGTCCCCCATCCCCCATTGGACTTTTACAGTAGACGGGAGCTGGGGGAGCTCGCGCACATGACGCTGTGTTATTGTTACAATGCTATACGCTGTATTTATTTATTATTGTGCAGACAGATGCATGTTGCTTAGTAATCATGCTTATGGCTGTTAATGTGCGGATTAGGAAGTGATGTTGTGTTCTAGATTTTAGGGCATATCGCAGCCAATCACAGTGCTCGGTTATAACTCAATTTAATAATTTATGAGGCTTGATGAGCATTCATAGGCCAATCTTTTGTCTGGAAACGCCCACCCGTGTTACATAACTAATACTTAAAGCCCACTCCCCGGCAACATTTGTACTCACCATAGCCACATTCAGATGCAAACGTTAACCACATTTTCTTTATTTTTTCTTACAGACAGGAGGAGACTCAGCGGTAAGAACATTTTATATCATACTGTATTTGTGTTTTAGTCGTTGTCTGTGCTCCCACCAGGGGTCAGTAACAACCCATCAGTGGTGGGTATAAGCTGACATGTTTATTCTGTTCACTGTTTCTGCAGCCCAAGAGGAGATCTCTCAGGTTGAAAGATGTAAGTACTGACTCTCACACATAGTATGCATGCTGTTAAAGTCTGTTCTCAGAACTGACCATCATTTTTTTGGGTCCTAGCAGACACCTGAACCGGCAAAGGCAGAGGCCAAACCTAAGCCAAAGGTGAGAACTTTTTTCATTACTTCTTATTAGACTCTCAATTGTTGACTGTTAGACTAATGATGTTAATATTTCTGTTTGCAGAAGGCACTGGCTAAGCCTAAGAAAGCCAAGGAGGTGGAGAAGGCCAAGCCTGAGGAGAAAGCACCAGAGGCCCCCGCTGAGAACGGAGAAGCGAAAGCCGAGGAGGAGGTAATGTTTATGTGAATATATAAACATGCAAAATAAAGCCCATATTCTTGGTGACTAAACTTTGACCCTCAACTTTGTCTTGCAGGCACCGGCTACAGACGCAGCTGAACAAAAAGATGAGGCAGCAGAATAGCATCTCTCCAAACACATCTTTTACCAGTGCTCCCTGTACCTCTTTTCTTGTACAATTCAGGGGATATTTTTATCAACTATTTTCTAAATACAGGTTTTTTAGTAGTTTGATTGTAGAGAACACTTTTTTTTAATGAAAGAAAAAAGTCAATTTGGAGACGGGAATTTCGTCACATCCCACAATTTTGCATCGCCATACAAATTGCGGTCATTGTTGTTACTGTCAGTGGATCTCATTTCAGTTTTAAATGTGAAGGAGGGGAGGGTGCAGGTCGGGTGTCAAGTTCGTCAAAACGCGAGCACGACGTTAAGGAGCTGGGGAAACAACGGGAAGAGATTACATTCCATATGCTTTATAAGGGACTGTATGTAATCTGTGCTGGGGGGGGTGGACAAAGTCACAGGGAAACTCATTGTTTTATTGTTTCTAATGAAGAACAGTGTTTTAGAATGTTTGTAAGCTTTGTTCCTATATGTTAACTCTTGTACTCATGCCGTTTTCTTAATAAATTTGATCAATAAAGCTAAAATCCCTAGTACTGGAGCTCTCCTTATCAGACGTGCATCGCGTGTGTTGGTTGTGTCTGTTCTGTGATAGCATCGCAATAAATTTGTATAGCTGCTGTGAAAAGGGTTTTCAATCTTTCTATACGCAGTGTGTAACGATACATTGTAAGGATGGTAAAAATGGAATTTGTTTTCATAGCCACGTTTATGCGGTGTGTAACCATACAGAGCAAACTGGAGACTGGCTTCCTTAAGGCCGACAGAAAAACTGTACATTTATTTGAGATGTCAAATGCATACCAGCAGTAGCAATATTCATGTGGGTTTTAGATAGTGTGCTGTTTCTTTTGATTTGTTTATAGATGTACCTGTGTATTGATTGTTATCAACAAACCAATAAAACTTGGTTGGTAGTTGTTACGCTGTTTCCTTCTGAAAAGTTGCTTATTTATTAACGTTGCTGATAAAACACTGAAGGTTTCTCATTGTTCAAAAAGCATTGAAATGGAAGTAAAACATGCCTATAAGGCTTTGTTCAAAAATACTAGAATCCATGTCATTCGCCGTAGGATTCAGCACAAATAATGTGATATATAAGTGGAAAGTCACTAAATAATCACAGTTTTAGTATGTACGTTTGGGAAAGGGACCTTACTGGAGGTCATATAACATCTAATTTATTGGCAAATAAAGAGTCAAATCTTAATTAAAAAACTTTCAATTGGATAGGACATGTTCAAAGATCAGGTTCACTTGATTAGAAGGCTAAGACAAGCTATACAAAAGCATAACAGTCAAAGTATGATTTTGAAAAAGCTGCTATAAAATCAATTACAAAAATATCCCTTTCATTTTTTAAATAATAGTTTTACAAACTTTCAAAAAAAAAGGCAAATGACAGATTATTTTCAGCACCATGGACAGCTTCCCTTGGGGCCGCTGCTTTACTCAAACTCTGATCATGACTTCATTACATTTAGAGAAATAAACATTCTTGTGCATCTTTTGTATCTCTGATGCAATAAAAGAAGTTCACTGCACTTTTGTGTTCTTCCTGACGAAGCGTTCACATGCTGTGCGTATTCTCACAGACCTCCAGCACATCATATTAAACTACTTAGTGACATGGCTACATTCCAACTGACTTTATCTCCAGCTAATGATGAAGCCATAAGAAGACCCTTCTCTGTTTGCAAGTTAGAAATGAAAGTTTAGGGAGACACAAATCACAGTCCCTTACTTTAATATCTTGTGTTGATATACATGTTGTCATCTTTTTTGTATCTATTGTTGGCCAATTTACAATATATTTTTGAATTTGTATCTTCTTATTTAATCAAAGTATTTACATTTGATCTTTTATGGGACATTTTATGTTTCTTATGTTTATAAAAAAGATCCTTGTTTTAATGTTTTAAACATAATACATTAAAACAAAGATATTTTTTATAAACATAAGAAATTAAAGTTAGCATGTAACATGCTAACTTTAATTTCTTATGTTTATAAAAAATATCTTTGTTTTAATTTATTTTCATCTTCCTACATGCTAACATTAACTTATTGTGTTTATACAAATATGTATTTATATTTATTTAACTTTTATTTAACTGAAGTATAAAATGGAGCAACTGCCACAAAACCCAAGTATAGAGTTTGAGTGAGACAAAGAAATGGTCCCAGTGTTCTCAGTCAAAGTGAAAGAGTGAAGGCAGCGCAGTGTTTCCCTGCTGAGCTGCAGCAAGCGGGAGAGAAAGACAAACCTTCAAAACAATGAAACTGGAAGATGCCCACATGATTTCTGCAACTCCCTCTGCAGAAGTTTCACTGGATTACAAATCTATCACGAAGAATCTGCATTAAGACGGATGCTTTCACAGCCAGAGGAACACAAAGGAACACTTACAGCCACTTTAAACTGTCTCAATATATAAAGTATTAAAACAATTGTCATAGGGTTGGAATAGCAGCTTATTGAAGGTTTATTCATGTGTTTTGCCAGTTTACAGAAGAAAAACCGAACAAATTAGACATTTACTGTACAACATTTATTGTACAATCACATTAATTGTTGAGTTGACAAAACTCAGATTTTTTGGATGAGGAAGTTAATATTATATTATATCTGTACACAGCTACAGTGGCAGTGAGACAACTCCTCGAGTGATCCTTGAAAGCATCACAAAAACTGGCGAGTGTTATTCTGCATTAACTAGCATTACACTGCGTATAAAAATAACATGTTCTCCAATGACTTCATTTCAGTGAAATGATGATCATCAGTACACTTAGTATTGATAAAATGACCTAGACACATGTGTGCAAATACCTAGACAGATAATAGTCTAGAACATACAGGCCCATCAGAAAACATTCAATAAGTTCAAGAGAAGTGACCTGCACTGAAGGCAAGTACGCAATGAGCAGCATGCATCCACCTGATGTCAACAGGCCTCAACACTTTATGTCCAGGTTCTTTTGAGTGTACAGCTGCCATTAAACTGAAAGGTCTCTATGTGAGTACTGCCTCTATGACTAAATGGAAGACATCTACTTTCTTTGTGAGGTTGAACAGGAGAAGAAAATCTGTACATATGAGACAGGGATCCTCTTGGCTCTTTCATTTTTTGATCATTATGGTGATCAAAAACGTTGAGTTTTTATTTTTATAATGGAAGTTAAACCTTTCATATTAAGTGTGCATCCAAAATACAAACACTTAAACCCTTTAAAGTTCATTAGGAGTCATAAGGCAGACCTTTTGTGTCAGAGAATAAGTTTAGTTCAGTAGGCAAAAAACCCACCAAAATTAATGTTGCAGGCTGTAAAGAAATACATATTTCTGCCTGGCATTGAGTTTAAGTAATGTCATTCTATCTAAAGTAGTTTAATGACTTACACCCCACCGGAGCATCTACATCAACCCAATTCATCAGAAAAAATATGGCGATCAGTATTTTTGTTCAAATTGACGTATTAATGTGCAGTATTCTGTAAAAAGAGCTGTCTTTAGTGATAGAACACAGGCCGTTTGTCACATAACATGTTATCAACCTTCATCTCATTTCAGGAAAACACGTTAGTCCATTTTCTCTGCGATGCGTCCCATTTTGGTGCGCATGTTGCGTACGAGGAAGAAGCCAATGGTGGCAGAGGCCATTATCACCTCGGCTACCCAGAAGGCCATGTCCCAGCTGTGCTGTTTGGCAATACTGCTGAAGGGAAGCCCCGCCATGAACGCCCCCACTGCAACAGAACAAAGTGTGTTTAGACTGATGAATTAGACTACAGTGATGATGCACATGTGAATCTGGAGCCTACCATTAGCCATCAGAGCCACAACAGCGTGAGAGGTTCCACAGAAATTCGGAGGAGCACATTCACTGGCTATCACCCCAAACAAGGCGATTGGTCCGTAGGAAGAAAATCCAAACATAGCACCGAGGAACAGGATCCAGATCTGTGTGTGACAGAGAGAAAACGTGGATCAGTGTTCTTGAATGTGTTAATAACATTACATCACATGTCACTTGTTAGACGCTTTTATCTAAAGCGACTTACATACTCAATACTGTGGACAATCCCCACAGGAGCAATTTGGGGTGAAGTGTCTTGCCCAGGGACACAACGACATGCTGACTGCAGTGGGGTTTGAACCTGTGCTCCCCTGATCCCAACACCAACGCACTAGTCCACTGTGCCAAAGCCTCCCTAATAACATTCAGTACATCAAATTGTAAGGCCCATAACACTCAGTGATTTTGAGCGGTGGTGGAAGAATTACTCAGATCTCTTACTTTAGAAAAGGTAGCAATACTACAGTATAAAAATACTCTGTTACATGTAAAAGTACTGCATAAAAAATATTTTAAAGAACAAAAGTATTCGCATTAAAAATACACTTAATACCCTCTTGTGTTTTTGGGGGTTTTCCCTCTTCTTTCTGTGCATGTCAATGGTCTGCAAAGGCTTAATTCCCTGTGTTCCCTCCAGAGGGAATTTTAAAATCATGTATAAATAATTGGATTATACTTATTGATGCAATAACCAATGTTAATCATTTTAATGTTGCCTCCGGTAAAAGTGAGTTTAATTAAAGTACTTTGTATACTGTTGGGTAGCTTGATCTGTAATAATAAATCATATCATTTGCATTGATTTATACTTTGTAAGAATAATAAAAAACAGGTAATGAGCTAATGCTGTAAAATAAATATAGTGGAATAAAAAGAACAACATATGCCTCCAAAGTTAATGGAATAAAAGTATAAAGTAACATAAAGTGAGAATACTCAAATAAAGTCAAACTTGTACTAAAGTAAATGCATTTAGTTCAATTCCACCAGTTTTTTTTAACATACCTCTTTTTCTGATACACCAATGAGGACAGAGACAGGATGAATGACTTGGACCCAAAGAGGCGCCTCCTGAGGACAGACCATAATCTCTGGTGAAGTTTCAATACGGCACACATGTTTATTCCATGCACAGTATTAATTAAAGGTGCAGTTACCTGGGGGATTTCAGGTGTGATGGTGACTCTGAACAGGTACATGGACACACACATCCCGCTCATCATGAAGAGGAGCAGGCCGTGGCGGGGGTTTCCGTGGGTGCCCAAGCCTCGCTGAAGTCAAAGAGAGGATCATTTTGTTAACACTGTACTCCGGTTAATAATCATTTTTGCCCAATCTATCCCATGGCTGTCACTCACCCGAGACACAGCTCTGTCGGAGAGGAAGCCCGCTGCCAGGCTGCCCACAAAGCCCCCCACCTCCAGGGCACTCATGTAGGTGCTGCCTGTGGGGAACACCGGGGGTCAGCCCCATTCACCAGCAGGAGGAAATACAAATCTGTGACAATTAAAACAACATACCCATGAGGACCGTCTGGCCCTTCTCCTGAATGAGGAACAGCATTCCCCAGTCAGTGGCAGCCGTCTTCACCCCGAACACCACCAGGTAGCCCAGAGACAGCACCCACAGGAAGGGGGAGAGGAGGAACTCCTTCAGGGTGCTCTCACTGTTTCCTGTACACAAACAGACAGATACATTCAATGCAAAGGGAAATATGAGTGTAATACAGGAAGTGCACTTGTATGTGTGCTTAATAAAACTATTATAATTACTCATTCTTTACTGCACAGCCATCACTTTGCTTTTAACATGGTTCGTAACATGCAAGCCGACCGCACCAACTCTGCTATACAATATAGCAGAGAGGAACTTCTTCACATCAGAAACTTTGTGGACAATAACCCACCGACAGACAATGGAGATTCGCCATGGCTGCCTCCTGCCGTCCTACCTGAGAGACGCAGGAGGAAGACAAAGCGGGGGTCCCGTGCCGGGCTGCTGGTCAGACTGAGGAAAACGAGAAAACCGACCCCCTCTTCCGAGTATTCTTCTGGCTAATGTTCA